AATTGGTAGTTGGTGGGCCCCTCCTGATTTTCACATATATAGCTACATGCCTCTGTAGTGGATGGTGGTTATATAATTGGCGCCCAACGTGTGGCCCGAACAAACTTAATATAGGTCACTGAAAATTTACCAGTGTTTGTCACAAAAAAAAGAAAGAAAAAAGCTTGACAATATGGCTAGTCAGGGAGCTCTAGATGGGGATGAGACCGTACCTGATCCAGATTTCTCATCTGCACAATTCAGCATGCACAGAGAACCACTACGAGAGCTGATTAATATTTTATGTGACTTGTATATTGATTCAGAGGAAAATTAGGAAGTTATGAAGGGGAACAGCCCTAAAGATGACCCGCTTCCACCACCACCGTAAATCTATGAGGAAATTGCATCTAACCATTCCAATGATGTGTCAGCTATGCTACAGGAGCTCACAGAACGTTTCTCCACTCTTGAGGAGAAAGATGACCAGCATTAATCAGAGGGTGAGTGAACAAATTACCTGTGATTTTGAGTCACAACGCAAAGCCACTGAAGATAAATTGTTATACCGTATAGACCATGAATGCACCAGAGTAAGAAAACATGTAGAGCTGCTCATTCAAGATCTTGGTCAGTCTGTACTAGATTGTTTAAAAAGAAGGGACCAACAACTTGATCAGAGAATTCAATCTCTCCGGCCGTCAGCGTCCACTCCAATTCAGCCCATGAATACAAATATTGTTCGCACATCACTGAGAGTTCAAACCTATAGTCTTCAGTCTAGTACTCTTCCAGTCATGGACAATTCATCTATAAATCCATATGTCCCTCCAGTCAAACTTGAGTTCCCCAGTTTCAGCAACAGTCCAGAAGAAGATCCTATCCTATTCATTGAGTGATGTGAGGAGTATTTTGCTGTTTGACCTTTGAAGGATAGTGAGATTTTGGCTTCTTTAACGGCTGTTCTTAAAAGCACTGCTAAAGATTGGTGGATGGCTGAGAGGAGGAATGTCCATGACTGGAAACAATTTAAAGAGTTATTTCTGCAGTCATTTCTGAGTGATTATTATGATGAGCTGGCAGCAAGGAAGCTAATGGAGAGAAGACAAGGTGCAAGAGAAAGCTTCAGAGATTTCGCTTTTCACTACTGAACTCTATGTTTGAGATGGAAGAAGGGAATGTCAGAGAGAGAGATCGTACAAGCTATCTTGCGCAACTACAACCCACGGCTTGTAAGAGTGGGTACACAGATAGAAAGAGACTTTGGTGAGTTCAAGAAATACTGGACCCAAGTCAACGTGGATGAGCAGAGGAAAAGGAATACTTCAGCTAATGAACCACAATGCAGAACAGCCACTGCTAGCACAAGAATCATCCAAACTTGCCAAAATTCTGTGCAATGCCACATCACAAATCTTATCATTCCCATAACACTGCAAGACACAGATTTAACCGCTATGGTGGACACTGGCAGTACTTTGTCACTAATTCAAAGGTCATGTTGGGAACAATTAAGCAGAGGAGAAACGTACCTACCCAGTGAAGGACAAGCTTTCCTTCTGGCCAATGGGCAATGACAAACTGCTGTCGGAAGGGTTGTGTGGAAGAGTAAAGTGCAAGGTCGTCCAGTTGTACTGACATTGTACATAATGAATGATACTGACCTAAGAGTACCCATCATCCTTGGCATGGATTTTTTGTTGAAATCTGGAATGATTTAGTATTTTAATGAGGCTCAGTATTGTTTTTCCCCCATAGAGGGCGCTGAAACACCAGTCACCTTTCCATTCCTTCATCAGGACATTCATTCTTCTGTGCACTTTTACCTTGCCCTACCTCTAACGTCCTGCAATGATGACATATTCCAGTCTATACGCCAACTATCAGAACATGCATACACTGACACGCAGACACAGCAAGAACTGGAAAATCTGATGTTAAGCTGGGCCACTGTTTGCCACCAGGAAATTGGACATACCGATTTGGTCAAACATCATATTATCACCACAGATGAACGTCATGTTAGAAAGAAAGCATACAAGATTTCCATTGAAAAGCAGAGTTTTGTTGAAAGTCAAATCAAGGAGCTGCTAGAAAAGAAAATCATTCGACCATCTAGCTCTCTGTGGGCAGCACAAGTGGTAGTGGTACAGAAGAAAGATGGTGGTTCCAGACTCTGTGTTGACTACCGTGGGCTGAATACCAAAACGTACCTTGATGCTTATCCTATGCCACAAATACAGGACATCTTGGAGTCATTACATGAGGCAATTGTTTTCACTACACTTGACTTAAGAAGTGGCTATTGGCAACTGGAAATGGAGGCAGATAGCATTCAAACAACAGCCTTTACCATATCTTCAGGGCTATACGAATTCTGCGTTTTCCCTTTGGGTTGCAAAATGCAGCAGCATCCTTCCAGAGACTCATGGAACATGTACTGCGGGAGCTGAAAGGTAAATGTTGCATGGATTACATCGATTACGTCGTAGTCTACTCCAAGAATAAGCAAGACCATCTTCAACATCTTCAGCAGATTTTCAGTTGTTTCCACAAAGCAGGTCTCACTCTCAACCTCAAAAAGTGTAATTTCATTCAAAAATCTCTCATGGTCCTAGGTCATGTTGTTTCAAGTGAAGGGATCAAAACTGACCCTGCAAAGGTGTCAGCAGTTAGTTCGTTTCCCATCCCACAGTCTCTCAAAGATGTCCAAAGGTTTTTGGGCTTAGCTGGTTGGTACCATCGGTTCATTCCCAAATTCTCAGAAAAGGCTGCCCCACTTCATGCATTGAAAAAGAAAAACTCAACATGGACTTGGACAGATCAGTGCCAACAAGCATTTGACCTTATCAAACAAGACTTAACACAAACTTCCTTTCTAATGTCTCCAGGTTTCAACCAAACACTCAGAGTTCAAACCGATGTCATTGAAATTGGATTGGGAGCAGTTCTTACACAATAATCTGCAGGAGAAGAACATGTTATTGCATATGCATCCAGACTACTGAGAGGGGCTGAAAAGTCCTACTCTGTAGCAGAGAAGGAGTGCTAAGCAGTGGTATGGGTGGCAGAGAAGTGGAGGCCATATCTAGAAGGGCGACCAATTGAAGTATTAACTGATCATGCAGCACTGACTTGGACTTTCCAACACCCAAAACCATCATCACGCCTCATCAGATGGACCATACGTCTGAAAGGTTTTCACTTCACGGTCAAATACAGAAAAGGTCAGTGCAATGTGGTGCCTGCTGTACTATCCAGGGTTCCAAGTTTCACCATTTCACCTAACATAACCGCAGTCGCTCAAGCTTCCAATTCTTTTGCAACACCAGTCTCTATGCCAGTGGATCTCCCACAGATAGCAACTGTACAGGAAAGTGACCCAGAAATACAGGAATTGATCATCAAAATAACAACTCAGAGCCCCCAAGATACATCATGAATATGGTACGTAACATAAAATTTATTCCTATTCCATAGTATTCCAGATGGACGAAGCGGTCAAAAACTTCAACTTGTCATTCCATCCAGCCATCAGCAAGCTTTCCTTCATTATGCGCATGACAATCCACTCAGTGGGCACCTAGGTAAGCTCAAGACCTTACTCAGACTACTGGATACTGTATATTGGCCTGCTATCAGAGCTGATGTTTGGAAATATTGTAAAGAATGCCAAGTCTGACAAAAGTTCAAACCATCTTTGTCAAAATTATCTGGTCATCTACAGTCTACTCCCATTGTTGAACCTGGTTACATGATGGGCATTGATCTCATGGGACCATTTCCAAGGAGTGTCTAGCAAAATGAGTACTTACTTCTGATTGTGGATTATTGTTCCAAATGGGGGGAGATGTTTCCTCTAAGATCTGCTAAGACTCCTCAGATTGTCAGAATTCTGGTCGAGGAGATATTTACCAGATCGGGAACACCGGCCTACTTAGTTTCAGATTGTGGTGCACAATTTACCTCTCAACTCCTTAGCATGGTATGCAAACAGTGGGGAGTCGTACAAAAACTCACCACAGCCTACCATCCCCAAACTTATCTGACAGAGAGAGTCAATCGAAATTTGAAAACAATGATTACCTCGTACGTCAGAGATCATCATAAGCTGTGGGACAGATAGATTGCCGAATTCAGGTTTGCTATTAACACTGCCTGGCACGAAAGTACAGGAGTTCACACCTGCTGAAGTAGCGCTTGGACGAAAATTAAAAGGACCAATGGAGAGAGCGCTTCATAAACCGCCTGACCGCAATAACCTTGCATATCCCATCCTTGACAGACAACAACTCATTGCCCTGGTGAAAGAGAATATGAATTAAGCCCAAGCTAAGCAGAAGCAATACTATGATCAACACCGCAAGTCAGTGCACTTCCAAGAAGGTGATGTTGTTTGGGTACGGACGCATCTGTTATCTAGAGCTGACGAAGGTTTTATGGCAAAGCTGGCTGCCAAATGGAAAGGGCCAGCAAAAATTAAGAACAAATTGGGGCCTGTTAATTATTCAGTTTCTTTTATCTCTGATCCAGATAGCACCGAAACAAATCTCTCTCTGAGGGGAGGGGTATGTAACAGGGCTAGCTGTTATTAGTTATTTTTTTTCTCTCCACAAGGGGGCGATGGAAAGCTTAAACCCCAAGTAATTTAACCAGGTAGGATAGTAGAGGAAGTTAGTTTTGTTTGGAAGAGGGAAGCATGGTATTGCCCTCGAAATGAAAATTTCATTTGGAGTCCTGATTGAGAAACTCTGCTTCCTGTTCAATCTTGTAAGTTTTGTTTCTCCTCATGTGCATTTGATCTGTTTGATCTTGATTTTTTTTTTACTTGATCTGCATACTTTAAGTGTGGGCTTTCTAGTTAATGCTAGATTTGTGTTTTTTGTAGATGGACTTTTTAAATAGTACTTTGTATCTGATGTTGAGTCTGCATGAGTTGCAAAGGCTCTACTTTCATGGATGTCAAGAAGACTCTTCTCAATGGATTGTTTGCGCCATATTGACTTGTGGATTATCATATATCCTGAGTACAAGGACTTGACTCTCTGGGCCTTTTTTGTTGGCATTACTTGAAGCGCACTTTAAGGAATTATTGCTTTTTTTTTGTGTAGGGGTTTCTTTTTCCACTCATCATCAATGGGACTGTATTTGGGGATGTGAACATTTACTGGAACACACTGAACTCTGAAGATTCTTTGTAGTTACCATCCTTTCTTTGTTGTATTAATTCACATTATTCTGTAAACCATCTGTGTGTATAGATGTGAAGTACTGTATTGTTTTTTTTATCAGTTCATTCTCTTTTTTGTCTAAAACTCTATATCATTTATAAAAGGTATACAAATTTAAAATCCAGTCTTTGTAGTTTGTGACAAGGCACTGGGAGATACACTAAGATTTTTCTAAGCAGTGTAAAATTAGTAGTTGGTGGGCCCCTCCTGATTTTCACATATATAGCTACGTGCCTCTGTAGTGGACGGTGGTTATAACCTTCCAACAGGACAATGACCCTTAAGCACACAGCAAGAGTGGCTTTAGACAACTCTGAATGTCCTTGAGTGGCCCAGCCAGAGCCTGGGATTGAACCCAATCAAATATTTCTGGAGAAACCTGAAAATGTGCGTTTGCCCCCATCCATTCTGACAGAGCTTGATAGGTGAAGAGGCGGGGAGAAGATTGGCAGATAATAGCCAAATGATGGTGAGCAAAGCTTGTCGCATCAAACAAAAAAGACTTGAGACTGTAAAGGTGCTTCAGCTAAATATTTAGTTACTTCTGCAATGTACTTATTTCAGATTTTTTTTTTTTAATACATTTACGAAGTTGTGACAATTCTGTTTTTGCTTTGTCAAGTTGGTATATGGAGTGTAGATTGATGTGGAAAAAAGTAATTTAAAGCAGTTTAACATAAGGCAGCAACATAACAAAACATAAAAAATGAAGGGGTATGAATACTTTCGCAAGGCACTGTAAGTTTAAAGATGAAGTCATAAATATCCTGTTGAAATTGGATGTTCATGCATTGAAAATACAAATAAATTGCTGTTTTCAGAAAAAAAAGACAAAAAATATAAAAACTTATGAAGCCCTCAAAATCATTTAAGCCTCTGTAAACAGAATCACATTAATCCAAGTTGCCTTTCAATATTGGTCTCTCAACGTTGTGTCAGATGTCTAATGCTTTCTACTAGAAATACTGAAGCCTGACAGAATCACGCTATTGCCTTGTAATAGTCAATTGCATTGAAGCATGTGAATTTGGGATGGCCACGTCCCCTACATAATTTGGTGCTGAATGTCATTTCCTGGGAAACGTTCTCCTTCATCTTGCAAGATACTCGCCTCTTCTTGCTGCTGAGTCATCGCCAATCGGTGAATTATGCTTCACAATCCCCTTTGAGCGTTCTGGTGACACTGAGGATGTGCAGTGAATATGACAATTTCTTTCAGTGATGGAAGGACCTTGTTTTCCTCACTGTGAAATGATGAATGTCAGGACTCTTCGCCTCTGCATCAACATCATCTGTGAAGATAAGCTGCCGCTGAATTATTCCGGCCCTTCGCCACCCTAGAACTGCGGAGAAAGAAGCAGAGAGTCAGGAGATGAGCTCATGCCGAGTCAGTAACCACGTGCCTCGCTTTCACCTGAACTACCTGTGATTTTCACCAGTGACAGACTCCACCTCTGATAGAGACAGATTCTTTTAGCACATCAGAAAATGACCAAAAAAAGGCGCCCGCCTCAGAGTGGCAGTCTGCTGAAAGAAAATAAATTCAGAGCCACAGCGCTTCAGCCACTCATAGCCCTTCAATGTTAATACACCAGCTGTGCCGCTGCTTTCATAAGAGAGTGTAGTGTTGATTAAATGTACTGCTATATTTGCAGGCACTGCCACTGTTCATTGCCTTCAGTGATAAGCACCGGCTGTGCTATTGTTTTTCATGTAGGTGTTGTGTCAGGGTGAGTAATAACAGACAACACAAGTCGGCTTAAAGGCGGAAAAAAAACCCCAGAGGGTGATTTATTGAACACAAAAAAATGTGATACTATGCAGGTGCAGGAAGGCTAGCCTGCGCTGATGCTGGAAGGTTGGCGTGCTCAGGTCCAAAGTGTGTATTTAAGTGTCCACGTGAGAGAAAATGTGCAGATTATCAGTTGCTGGACTCTGTAATCACAAGGAAACAACAGCATTAGAGGCGCTTGTGGAGTCTTTGCTCACCCTTGCTTCCGAAGCGCACGCTTAGATGCACATCTCCTCATTTGCCACAGGTGTAGATGATCAGCACACGCTCCAAGTTTATTGTGGTGCTCGTGAGGTTTCCATGGTGACGCTGATCCCGCACAGGTAGGCTCGCCTAAAGCGTCATCCTGGTACTGCACTGAGATCTGTGGGGTGACAGGGGAGAAGATGGGGTTAGGGTAAGAGAGGTACCTGACAGACTAGCCCATCCTGACCACATCCTTGACAGACCATCTGCATTGCCATGGGCAGCTCCGGCTCAATGTTGCACCTTAAAGTGGAAGTCCTGAAGTGCAAGGAACCACCTGGTGACACGAGCGTTGGTGTCCTTGGCTTTGGCCATTCACTGCAAGGGTGCATGATCAGTCACTAAGGTGAAACTCTGACCTAACAAGTAATAGTGCAACTCCAGGACTGCCCACTTGATAGCCAGAGCCTCTTTCTCCACGGCTGCATACTTGGTTTTGGCAGGAGTGAGCTTCCGGCTGATGTAGACGATGGGGTGTTCCTCTCCCTCCTGGTCCTGGGACAGGTCTTTTGGACGGAGGAGAGCTGCTCCCCCATCGCCCCCACGGGGTCTCTTCTTGGGTGAAAGCCGACAATTGCGCTTGCTAACTCTCCCACCACCTCTACTCCGTGTGTTTCTCTGCACAGGCTCGGTGCACCCAGAACGCGATCTTCCCAGATGTCCTTCACTCCGGCGCCGGGACACCACGGACCCTGGGTGCAGCCGCAGCGGAAGGTCCCGGGCGACGACCTCTCCCCCTCCGCCGCCTCCGGTCTTCGAGATCTCCACCCGGAACCGCTTCGCTCCCCTCCGCGAGTCCGTGCTACGTTAGCTGAAGGTAAAGTGCACTCACTGTTTCCCTGGTGCTCGTGTTCTCGATGTTTCTGCGCAGATACCCGCGATCCTGAAGGGTGACAAGAGCCCCGGAGCAGTCGTGCTTCACGTGGGGGCTAACGACACCAAGCTGCGGCAGACGGAGACACTGAAGAGGGACTTCAGGAGAATGCTTAATGTTAACCTGTCAGATATGCAAAAGAAATCTATCGTATTGCTTGCTCTGGCTACTGTGTACTTCCTAAACTTCCTAGACTTCCTAAAAGAATTTGCAGATTTCCTCTCAGACCTATTGGTTACTGTTGATAAAGCGCTAATTGTCTGAGATTTTAATATTCACGTTGATAATACAAATGATGCATTAGGACTTGCGTTTACTGACCTAATAAACTTTTTTGGAGTCAAGCAAAACGTCACCGGGCCCACTCATCGTTTTAATCATACGTTAGATTTAATTATATCGACGTCCACTATTTAAGCAAATTTATGTGGTAGAGTTGCTCTGCTCTCCGCCGTCCTGGCTGGCGTACGTGATCCACCCACTGTATTATCCACATACAGGATTATGTTGAGTAATACAAGTCAGGAATTTCCCCAACCAGAAGCCCTGGATATACAGTCAGGTACGCTACATGCTACGTGCTCGATCTCTTGCATTTACATCAGGCAACGAGACAGAGTACAGAGCTGCTAAGTACGAACTGAGAAAAGCCATTACAGCGGCCAAGAGACAGTACAGAGAGAAGCTGGACAGTTTCTACTCTAATGTTGACGCCGGGCGGATGTGGCAAGGCATGCAGCACATCACAAACTACAGGACCACCACGAGCACGACTATCAGCTCCTCAGACAGCCTGCCGGATGACCTCAACACCTTCTACGCCCGCTTCGAGACCTCCAGCATCGACACAGAGAAGAGGAACACACACACTCTGACCACTCAACCCCCCTCCCCCTCCTACTGTCTCATCAGCTGTGGTACACAAAGCGCTGAGGAAAATCAACCCCCGCAAAGCAGCAGGGCCAGACAACATCCCTGGACGGGCCCTCAGAGCTTGTGCTACGGAGCTGACAGATGTACTCACTTCCATCTTCAACCTCTCCCTCAGTCAGCGCATTGTCCCAACCTGCTTCAAAACCACAACCATCATCCCCCTTCCCAAGAAGAGCCCCCCGACCTGCCTGAATGACTACAGGCCAGTAGCACTCACTCCAATCATCATGAAGTGTTTTGAGAGAGTGGTGCTGACTCACATTCAGAGCAGTATGCCGGACATATTGGACCAACTGCAGTACGCATATCGGCCCAACAGGTCCACCTCAGACACCATTGCTACTGCCCTCCATTTTTCCCTTTCTCACCTGGAAGATAAGGACACTTATATCAGGATGCTCTTTATTGATTATAGCTCTGCCTTCAATACGGTCATCCCTCACAAACTCACCCAAAAACTGATTGTACTTGGACTACACCCCACACTTTGTGACTGGCTCCTAGACTTCCTGACTGGCAAACCGCAGTCTGTTAAGATTGGAAATAGGACCTCAGACACTGTCATAACAAACATTGGCACCCCACAAGGGTGTGTTCTCAGTCCCATCCTCTACACACTGTTCACACATGACTGTGTTGCCTCCCACAAGGACAACATAATACTGAAGTTCGCTGATGACACCGCAGTGATAGGACAGATCACTGGTGGAGATGATGACTGGGAGGTGGTCAGTCTTGTGACATGGTGTGAGGACAACAACCTCACCCTCAACACGGACAAGACAAAGGAAATGATAGTGGACTTGAGGAAAAAGAGAAGAACTCACCAGCCACTGTTTATCCGAGAGCTTGAAATGGAGAGGGTGAGCAGCTTTAAATACCTGGGGGTCCACATCAGCGAGGACCTCACCTGGACTCTCAACACCAACCAGCTGGTTAAGAAGGCACAACAGCGGCTGTACTTCCTGAGGAGGCTGAGGAAGTTTGGCATGTCACCTAAGATCCTCAACAACTTCTACAGCTGTGTAGTTGAGAG